ACTGATAATCAATTAATAAAATTGTGGCAATTGTGGAGAGAAGCTGTTCTTCATGTTGAGCACATTCAAGAAATTACAGAACACTTAAACACTTGTGTTTTTAACATATCAATGCTATTATACTAGTGTATTTTGTATTTCAACCAAATCTACCATTTTTGGAATTAAAGTTTTATTGTTTTTGCAGTCTTCATTTTAAAGAGTATCATGACAGGATTATGACAGATGTCATAAATCCAAAGGAGTGCTGCATACCTAAAAGAATACTGTAGTTATTGCTCTGATTTTTCAGAGCAGTAATTGAAAGGTTTTATTCTATGTATATTAATGAAGTTAAGTGCTTGAGTGACAAACGTATTTCGAAGAAGTCACCTTGTAATGTATTAAATTCTATCAAATGTATTTAATGTTCGGACTAAATAAGTGATGAGATATTAATGAAAATTGCTAAGAATTCTTTAATGTGGAAATCTGTTAGGAATATTTTCTTTTGGTAATATTCACAGAGTTATACTACTGCTTATATAAATCATGTATTAGATTACATTTGTATCAGATTGGTCAGTGTAATGTGCATTTTATGAATTAAAAGCAAAAGTCTCTTCAAACTATGAAACTATAAGAAAGGTTTCAGTAGAAAAATTGTATCTATATATTTGCATACATGTCATCTGTCTGTGTTATTCTCTCAGTGCTGTGCTTGGTAGAAGTTTCTAAGCAGATGTGGTACTGTTGAACTCAGTCTTAATTTATACATATATGCAGGCTATTTACATTTTCCAATTATATAACCAGAATACTAATTTAAAACCTAATTTACAGCTCTTTTAAGATGGAAACTAAAACATTTTGATATGATTCATAGTCTATTCTGTAAAGAAAGATTTCATTTATGGTAGCATTTACAATGTTTCTGCTGGAAATCAGAGGCGTGTTACTAGAGGACAGTGTATATAGGAGTACTTTTAAGTAGTATGGCACTTAGTAAATTATATATCATGAAATTAAGCTTTTGGCAAGACACCTGAAACCTGAAACATTAAATCCATGTTTAAATGGTGTCTCTAATGCTAACTGCATCTTTCATTTCTTTTTTATATTGTTAAGTAGAAGATTGTATCTGTGCCCTTTTTATTGTAGTGGAAATTACATAGTTGAGTATAAAAAGTTTTTCTTTTGCGTTATAGATATTCAAAAAACAGGGTAGTGATACTAAGATTATCGAGTTGATGGTGAATTTATCCAGTAAACACTGTTTGTGGTGCCAGTGGTTCTAAGTGTCAGGTGACAGGGTATTCTACTCTTTCTAATCAGTTGAACTTGATAATGTAGCATAATTCACAAACTAGCCAGCTGTGCCTGCTTTTGAGCACCCCATAGTCACTATAATAATATTATCCATGAGCCCAATCCTTCAAAAAAATAGTTCTTATAGAAGGAAAAATTATATATATATGTTTGTGTGCACATGAAGCAACCTATCAAGGGAGGTTTTAAAATTTGCCAGTAAGACAAATGCGGTATCTCTAAGTACAGAATATGGTCATATTTTTAACATTTAAATACGAATTTACACTTAACTTCTTGGGTCTATTACTTGGGTCATCAATTTGATTAGATTTGAATGCAAAGGGCACTGGACCAGCTATATGCCTGATGATGATTTTATCTGATTAAGACTAAGAGGTACTTTGCTTTTAAAACATTAAAAAATATGGCCACTCTTCAAATGTACTGTGAAGAATATTCCAAAATGTGTTTCTATTAATCTTTACTGTCCCTTTTGAAAAATTGATCTAACTTGCTTTTCTAATATTTATATTTACATCTGAGAGAAACTGCTACATTAAGTCAAAGTATGTTCTAAAGGGGAATGAATGCAACATTAATGCAAATACCAAGAAAATACTTGAAAGAGTCCATTTAATTTAAATAAATTTTTGGTTTGAATTTCAATTTCTACTAGTCAATCTATGCAATAATGCTTATTAGTTTTATAAACACTTGACTCACTGGTCTGTTTTTTTTTTAACTGTTATTTTAAAAGATTCTAAAACAATTTTTAGCATCCTTAACTTTTAGTATCATTTGCTCACTTAACTGGGAGCACCAGAACAGGAACAACAAAAAAAAGGAATAAAGTCTCTGGCAAGGAAATAGCATGTCATTTGGTAACTGTAAAACTTGTTAGCAGTTAAAGATGATCTGTTGGGTGAAGGACTAAAAAAAGCATTTACTACTTTTTGACTATGTATTATTTCTTCTCACAAGGAGCATCATGGAAAAACAAATATAAATACGTCTCAATGGATTTTTGTAATTGTTCTAAATCCAGTAATCTACTGGTTGCTTAATTGTGAAATTGTGAAATCAAATTGTTGTTAACTTTTATTCATTTTAATTTGTAGCATTACTGTTTTATGAAATGTGACAGATTAGGAGTCAACATAATAGGGTTCTAAAAGGGTAGTGTTTCTTCAAATTCTGATTTGGGAGTGAGGAGAAGGGAAGGTATTGTTACCTAAATAAATAAACCAACATTTTGAGCATTATGCAGTATTATGAAATATTACAACACTATATTAAAAACAATAAAATGCTATTTTACAATTGCATTTATGTAAATGTATTTCATTTGTTCTCTCTTAAGGTTGTATATTCCTAACAACAAGCAAAATCAGATGCCATCATTGGTTAGCATTCCATGTACTTTATAAAACCAATAAAGAAGCTAAAATGCAGTCATAAGAAAAAATACCTGATTAATCCAAGAGAGGAAAAGGGAGACCTCCTTCCCCCACCCCCCAAAAAAAAGAAGGAAAAAGGAACAAATAGCAAGGCAATAGATTTAAATTGCACCATTAATCACAGTAACTTAACAATTTAAGGACCACAATTAAAATGTTGAGAATGTCAGGTAGAATAAAAGAGCAAGACCCATCTGGTAAATCAATTTTCAGTTTTTTTAGGAACTTTTGTTCTCCAGAATGACTACTAATTTACATTCCCACCCAAGGTGCTTAGGAGTTCTCTTCCTCACATCCTCACCAGCATTTTATTTTTTGACTTTGAGGACAGCTGTTCTAACTGGGGTGAGATGATATTTCATGTAGTTTTGATTTGCATTTCTCTGATGCTTAATGGTGTTGAACCCATTTCTGGATAAACTCAACATACCAGAGAGATACCTGCACTCATGTTCATTGCAGCACTGTCCATCATAGCTAAGATACAGAATCAACCTAGGTGCATTGTTCTTGAGCTCTGTTATGGTCCACAAGTTATTTGGAAAAAAGTTGATTGTTTACAAACTTGCTTTTAAATTTTGTTAGAGAATCATTAGGCAGTTCCATTCTTGTACTCTAATACTCTAGGATTTGTACTTAGCTTTCCATGTGTGAGCTCTAAAAATTGTTTCCTCTTGTCTTTTCTGCTGGTTATTTTGATGCCTTGGGTGGTGGTTATGTGGTTAAATTAGCTAAGACTCAAGGGAACCCTTTGCACATTCTGAAGCAGTCTGGCAGCTCTGTCACTTTTGGTACTCTATCCTGTGAACTCTGCTTGTCTTGCCCTCCATGGCCTTCCAACTCAAGAGACTTCAGGATTTCTCTTTCCCTGCAGTCTTGAAACTCCTTAGGATGTAAAATAAAGCAACCATAGGGCTTAATTAATTGTTTTCCTTTATTTCGCAAGTCACTGCCTGCTACCCAATGTGTTCTGTTTGTTTCATATTTTGTCTGGAGTTTAGTTTGTTTCAGCCAAAGAGTAAATCTAATCATTTCTCCATTTTGGCCAGTAGCAGATGATGACATAATGCTGCTGTTGTTGCTGGTTTGTTTATTTTGAGACAGGGTCTTGCCCTGTAGCTCAGGCTGGCCTTGGACTTGCAGTCTTGCCTTAGCCTCCCAAGTGCTAGAATTCAAACATGGACCATCATGCCTGGCTGTATGATGTTAACAATATAAGCTTTCCTTCATTTTGTCATTCCCAGTATTGTTTTCATTTGTCTTTTTTTTTTCTTTTATCTCAATGACTTGTTGAATTTGGTTATATTGATCATCTATGTCTTTATTCCATTAGTTTCTGCCCTTAACTTTAAATTTTCCAATCCTCTATTCTCTGGACTTTTCCTATAGTTTTTATTTTTTCTTTGAGATACTTATGACATTTGTTCTAGATCTTTGTTTTCTAAGAAAAGCACTTTGTGAGCTAAAAATTTACAATTTAAAAACTAACATGAGATGAGATATATAAGTTGCTTTAGGTTTATTCAAACAAGTTTGGAGATTATTAGCCATTATACCATTTCTCTTTTGATTTTGTCTTTAAATTACTTTTACAATTATTGTTTTAGTACTTTATCATTTTAGTAATAGATTTTGCAATTAATAATTCTTAGTTTGTAGAACTTAGGTTGAAGAATTAGTTTTGATTTTAAAGAGTCCTTCTGACTTCAACCTTACAAAATGCTCATTTTGGCATTTTCTCTAGTGACCAAAAATTGAACCAAATATCCAGGTAAATTATGCTATACTCAAACAATGGAATACTGTAAAATAAAAATGAAGTTCCACACTGAATGACATTCAATACAATGTTAAAAGTCCACACACTCAAGTGCATACTATATGATTTCATCTAGAGTTCAGAAACACAAAATTAATCTATGGTGATAAAACTTAGAACAATGGTTACCTTTGAGGAATAATGACTTAGCAGAAAAGTGTCTAAGGTACTTAACTGTTGACATTCTACATTATCACCTGAGCAGAGTTTACCCAGCATTTTCATTATAAAGGTCTACCAAAGCTGTATATAGTTTTGTGCACTTTTTTGAACTGGTATGCTTCAATGAAAGTTTTCTAAAAAATACAATAAAAGGACCGTGTCTGGTTATCAAAATAAAACCATGGCAAATGTCTTTTAAATATTCTATTTTACCTATCTTGTATTGTTGATAATAGTGGTGGTGTTTAAGTAAACACTTTCCATTTAGAATATCATTTAGCTTTAGCCTGTGCAGCTAATGCAGCTTCTTCACGCCACTTAGCTTTCTTTGCCAGGTTCCAACTTGTTAAGGATTCATGTCGTTTTGCAGCCTGGAAAAAAAAATTGTGACTCTGGGAGAATATATATTTTAGTTAGATGTGCATAGAGAAAATCTTGTGAATACAAAAGTAACATAACATCTGTCACAGATAGTATCCAAGAAAAATGTTTTTTTTGTTAGGGAAAAATGTAAATTTTCTTGTTGACTTCTAGTCAACAAGACACCTGATGTCAGAAATCTACCTCCATCCTCTCTGGTACATATAGATGTGTTTGTGAATAGAAAAATATTTTCAAGTAACCCCAAAATCCAAAAAGGGAAATCTTAAAAGTACCAGAAATGAAAGTAACTTAAAGCACGAACTAGTGAGTACAGGAGAGATAAGCCAGAATGGAAAGAAATGGTTTCAGTCACAGGCATCTGAGAAAAAAATGTTGGCCAGGTGACACAATGAAGAGGGACCTGGTAAATGGATGTGGCCCGGGAGAAGTTGACTAGAGAAGGGAAGACTCAGATGTGTTATATATGTATCCTAATACATATAACAATATTGGTGGAGTGAAATTGTGTATTCATTCAGCTCCTAACTGATGAAATAATATTTTCTTGGTGGCAAAAACTGACCAGCAAATGAAAGGATTTGAGCAGGAAGAGAACAAAATTATTTGAAAATTATCAGCTCCTAATTTCTCTCTAGAGGTATTAAGCAGAAACTATATATTGGAGATGGCAAAAAATAACTCACAGATAATCTAGATTATCTTGGGGATCATTTGCAACTTGTACAGTTCTATTTCATAATTCTATGCAACAGCTCATTCATGATTTAAGGAATGGTGAATTTCCTGTTTTTGTTTATTTTACAATTTAAAAAAGTTTTGTTCTTCTTGCTCACGTAGCTAATTTGTTGACTCAAATTTCCATGAATAAATTTGTTTCTAGTGTGATAGATGTATGTGGGTGGTCCCAGACCTCAAAGATAAATTTGCTCTTAGATTAAGGAATAGTCATAATCCCTGAATTAAGAACAAGGTCTATGACATGTCTTAAAATTCAAAATCTTGGGTTAGTGGAGTGGCTCAAGTGATAGAGCACCTGCCTAGCAAGTGTGAGGCTCTGAGTACAAGCCCCAGTGCTACCAATAAATAAATAAATAAATAACATCTCTTTTTTTCCTCTTCCTCCTCTTCTTTTTCTGATTAAACCCTGGGCCTAGGCTTCTACCTATTCCCTCCTCCTCCTCTTCTATTCCTTCCTCTTTAACCAAGGGCTTCACACAAGCTAAGCAAGTGCTCTACCACTGATCCTATTGCTGCCCACCACAAGTCTGTATTTTTAAGGAGGTACTCACCCTTTTGGCTGACACTATCACCGCAATGCAGGCAATGATTGTGAGCCCAATCATTATATAGCAAGCTTTCACTCGAGCTTTGTTTCTTGCAGCATCTATCATTTCAGGCCTAAACCAAGATGTATATTTCATTAATTAAAACAAAAAATATGGTTTTCTGACAGACATGATGATTGCATTCTCCAAATGCAAACTATAGATGCTAAAGACTTGCGAATGCTAGCCTATTAGTCTTACCAATTTCTAATTAACAGGCATTTATTTAGCTTGAGATCTTTAATATTAGCCACTATGAAGCCATTGTAGTATATATAGTTTCCAAATGCTCAAATGTTAGAGATTATAGCCTGTGTTTTTTTATTTGTTAAATGGAGTAAGAGTTAAAGCTATTTTGAACAGGTTATTTTTCAAGACACATTTTCAATACTTTGTTTTTTGCACTGACCTTCCAATCTCTTCTTGCCTCCCTCCCATGATATTACCAATATATCATATTACTGCACATTTTGTAGAAATAATTGTTAGTGTAAGGATGTTTTCCTTCATTGCTTTGCAGGAAGCTTAAAAGATGTGATCAAAATCATAATTTGTCAAAAAGACAAAAGATACCTTCATTTTTTATATTATTCTGAAGGTTGATATATTTTTACTTAAATACTGGGAAGTAGTATTTATTAATAGTTACATGCAAGTTGTCTAAGATTTTAGCAATATCACTCACAAAAGTGCTGTAAAAGGAATCATGTTTCACATTGAAACAAACTTTAGCAATTTGCAATAATATGAAGTGGCAGTTTATAAATATGCATAAAATACTTGGTTCTTGAAAATGTATTTAGTGGCATTCTTTTCTATCTAAAGTCAAGTTTAAATAGAAAGTAATTACATTTTTAAAAAAATTCCAGAAAGACAAATTACAATTTCTGTTAAAAATGAAAAACTTTAACTTTTTCACTACTTGAAAGACCACACAGGCACGCACACACACACACATACGCCTATGTTCATTCAGTGTGGGCAAAATGTAAGTTTAAGATGTAGTTATAAACAGTTCCAGTTAGAGTCTATGGAGACATTATTAAATTACATTTGTTGGTAGCTTTTGTTCCAGATGGAACCTAACAGATCTAATCTTTTTTACGTATCCATCTGGCTTTGATCTGCTACACCAAATTAGTTTAGCACTAAAAAAATATGTATATATATACAATTATAAAATAAAATTAGTGTATGGTACAAAAATTACAGGTCAGTTGTCAATTACATGTGCATTAAAAGCATAAAAAGTGAAAGCTATTTATATTGCAAGTCTATCGACTTAATAGGAATATCCTTCCTAAATAGAAGTGCTTAAAAGATTATAAAAATAATAAAATGAAAAAAATTCAAGGGTGAAAGGAGAAGATGAAGGAGGTGAATATGATTGAAGTATTATGAAAACAGAATAATGAAATCCATTAAAATTGCTTTTAAAAGGAGGGAGGGGAATATGAAGAAGAGAGGGAGAATTTGATCAAAGTACATTATATGCATGTATGAAAATGTGCAATTAAGATACAATAATAAAACTATTCAAATGCTTTCATATTTCCAGCTCAAAACTGCAATGCTTTGTATAAGCATCTTGTTCATTGTTAAATAGTCCAGTATGTAATGCTTCTTTTTACTGTGACTCTGAGGAAATTAAATAATTTCTGTAAAATGGGTCTCTTCCCACATACAGCTATGCTAATGCAATATGTCAGAAAGATGGTTGTCAATGTAAGGCTAGTCAGAATTGTCACAATGTATCCCCTCTGTACCGTGAATGTGAATGTGTGCTAATAAGAATAAAAAGATTGTTGCTTTACAAGTTACATTTTATTAATAATAAGTATTATTATCATTACAGGTTACTGTACCCTGGAGATGAAGTTGCTAGCTTAAATTTTATCACTTCATGAACTTGGTGAGTTTAGGACCATGTAGAGGCCAACATGCCAGCACTCCCCTCATGTCCCAATCCCAGAAAACCTGGCAGGTAGAGACCTACATAACTGCATTCTCCAGGGTTCTCCCATCCCAAGACCAGGCCTCATGAGTTAAATTTCTTCCCGAGAGACATTATCACAGCCCCAGGAGACATTATCACATTATCAAGGAGCCCCTTTCTCGGGTGGAGGGGCGAAGAGACACCTTCGAATTACCGAACCTCTCCCTCTCCGGCGCCACCAAAGCCACCCACGCGGAGAACGGTGCCTTCTGTTTGGCCTGAGTACTCCACTGCCTCCGGTTTGGAGCTCTCTGGAACTGGTATCTGGGCCATTGTGGAGTACTTAATGAACTTCTAGGTGTTCGCCCAACTTCTGCACTCTCACTGTTAGTTTACCTGCCCACTAACCAAAGAACTTGACATTTAATCAAACGGGGGTAGGGGGAGTGTGAAGTCCTTAACGATCGTGGATGTCATTGCAAAGGACCGTGTGGTACCATCGTGGGTCACTGGATGAACCATCTCTCTCGGACCGACAGACTCTCCCCTGCGCGCAAAATCCCGGCGGCGACACCGCTACACTTACGGGACTAGAGGTGGGATGTGCTCTACGGATTTGAAACGCCCGGTCCACAGCAGGATTTTCTTGTCGAATTGCGAAGGCTTCAGCTGGGCGGGGACCCTGTGAATCTTCTCTGCAAAGAAAGCGACAGGGGTGGACGAGGGGAAGGACAGATCCAAGGCACAGTGGATCAGCAGATGCTCAGGCCTGGATCGCAGTCCCTCTTCACTCTCCTCCCTCCCAGGCCATTTCCGTTTTACCGCTGGCTCACCGTGTCCTTGGGCTCCAGAGCCACTGGGGGTCCCGTTGCTGGAATAGCGGCGTAGGCTCCCGGGCAAAAGAACCCATGCCCGCCGCTGCGGGGGCAGAGATGCCCCCAGTACGCAGCGAAGCCCGCACCCCAGGCCCAGCCTCAGGAGGCTCCCAACCGCGGGGAGCATGCTGCGCAGTTTCCCGCGTGCACACCCTCACCTGCCACCACGAGATCTCCCTTCAGCCCGCCCCGCAGGTCCCCAGTGCAGCCTGGGGGGAAGTTCAGGGTGCGGCTGCCCCTAATCCCCGCCTTCTGTCCCCGCCCCAAGCCAGTCACCCGGGGCATTCCAAGCCCCTGGGGGAGGATTCCTCAGGGAATGGCCTGGCTCTGTTTGAAAACAGAACTCATCTGACAGCTCATTTTAAACATATTTCTTTGTGTTGAGTAGATATGTGTTCCCATTAGGCTTTCCGTCTTGGTTTCACTGTGCCCATGAGAATAAGTCTGAATCTTCTCTAAGAAAACATAACAGTCCTTCAGATATTTAACAAAGAAGGGTAGGGGGCACTCAACGAACTTCTCATTTCCCCTTGAAGTTGTTTGAAGTTAGTGCTTCATCCCACCTTAAACTCTATACTGTTTCTGTTTTTTAGGCAAAAAGTCCTTAGTTCCTACAACTGTTTTTCTCTACTTTGCCATTTCTTAGTAAGCCCAGAAACTCTCCAAACTCTCTTCAAAATGCGTCTTTCTTCTTTCATCTTTCACCATCTCCCCTGTGCAGACGGGAGGGGCGGGGGGGCGGGCGAAGGCGGGGAGAATGTACTATTCGTCAGTACTAAACGGGAATAGGGGCACAGACTCCAAGGTTGGAGATGAAGAGGGTGTACAACTAACTGCTCTTTACTTTGAAGAAATATTTGTGGTATTCTACAAGCAACAAACCTCAGACAGCTCAGGCTCACCAAACTCTCTTACCTGTTTACTGCCTCTGAGGGTTCCTTCCACACCTCCCAGTTGCTCTATATTTGCAGCTGGACTTTCAGATATTTTTTTCCTAACTGGATACAGCCTCCTGAAAGCAAGGCTTTCTCTGTAACTCCAGGCCAATGTCTTTCACATACAGTGTTTGAACTAAAGAGGGCAGATTAATAGTTCTGCAAAGAAATATGCATTTAGAGGAATGATTGTGGAATGAACCTGGCTTTTCCTTTACATCTAGGTTTAAATGTGATTTAAGAGTTGTGTAATCATGGGCAAATCATTCAAGTTATGTCTTGGTCTCATTTGTAAAACCAGAATTCCTACCTTTCATTCATTGAAACAATGGCTACTTCAAGCCTGTTATGTGCCAGCTGCTTCTTAGAGCTGGTGACAGAACAGTGACAAAGTTAGGTGGGGACTAGTAATAAAGAAAAATAAAGCAAGATAGAAAAATAACTAAGCAGAAGTGGAGTATGGGGTTCAAGGTTAGAGGCTATTTAGAATGTTCAGGGATATCCTAAATGTGTCCAACACATAATAATATATCAAAAGACATGAATTCTTTATTTTTGCATTCTTGAAGTATTTTTGAACACAAGAGCATTGTAATGCATGAAATCTCTGTATGGAGAGAACTATGAACTCCTGGACTAGAAGGATTTGTTACTATATTTCCAGAGTATAGCTGAAAAATTGGCAGTTGGTGGATATTTTATTAAAAAATATCTGTTTAATAATGAATGGATAAATATCATAAAAAATAGAATAGACTCCACCTGGGCTAAGAAATGACTGAAATATTTGACAATTTTTATCCTATGCAACTTTGTCCAGAGTCTATCACATAGCCCAACACATAACAACACTGGAACTGAACTGAATGAATTCATATTTGAGAAAGCATGGTGCCATAGATAATATCTGATTGTTACACCACTATGAAAATTCTCCCATTACTCAAATGTGTTTTTTAAGCTTATTTTATTTTCTTCATATCACTGGGAAAAAGTATCCCTAGAACTACAGAAAACCAGCTCAAAAAAAAAGAAAACCATCTCTGATTAAAAAGCTAGTCATTAATAGTTCATCAAGAAATATTAAACTGGTTAAATAAATTTATCTCCTGCAGCAAACTATATATCATACAAATATACTCTAACTCTCCTGGCATTACAAACCTACAGGGTGCAAGGAGAGTAAACAGGACCCAAGTCATGAGAGAAAGAACAATTTGCTTTCTATTCTCTATTCTTAATGGGATTAAAATACCATTATTTGGCAATGATCTACATAAAATAAATTGCTCACAGCTGCATAAGTTATCTTTTCTTTAATTCTAAAATTAAAACAAGTTAAAAAAACTTGAATCTACTCTTAAAAGAAGCAAAATCATAGTCCTTTTTTTTTTTTCAAACCAGGGAAGCAAATCTGTCCATTTAACAATAAATATTTGTTGGGTGCTTCTATATGCTGGACCCTGTTCTAAACTCTCAGGTGATAGCAAAAGTCTCTGCTCCTTGTTACCAATCCATGGTGGTTTCAGTTTACCCATACTGTTTTGTTCCTTTTTAGTTCAAAGGTTTATGTTATTTGTTTGAATATGCCATTTTCAGTATCATTTCTTCAGGGGTTGATTTTGATTAGTATAGTTTACATTTCCAGTTCCTCCAGCTATTGTGGCTATAGATACACTGTTCTAACTAGCAAGAGAATTTGTGGGGGTAATTTTTTTTCTCTTTTTCTTTTTCTAAATTGAAAGCTGTGTGATATGTGTTAGGCTAAAGCAGGGAGTTCAAAGACTAAGCTACAGAGCTGTCCCTGGGAGCTGCCAGTCTGTCTGAGATGATGTCCTCCCAATCAGGAAATACTCTAACTCCCAAGGGAAGGGTTGGGAGGGACCTTAACTAACTTCTTTTTCCAATTTCTTACTAATCTCTAAGTGGGGAAAGTTTTAAAGAGACAGTTTTCCTACAGACCCAGCTCACAGTGGTCTCTAATGCTTGGGGAAAACTTATCAAGTAGGTAGATCAGGTGAGGGCCAGTTAACTTTTAGGAAGTCAGCAACAAAAAGGACACACACACACACAAGTGAGGGAGCAGTTTGAAGTTATTCTGAGATTTAGAATGTAAAAAAAAATTTTTAGGGAGCATCAGAAGTTTGTTAACTTGGTTCTTAAATATATACTTACATATAGGTTGGGGAAAGGTATAGTATTTTCAGCGTTTAAAGATGTCAAAAATTAATTTGACATGAATTCCTACAGCTAGAACTTATTTTAACATCAAAACCTGGTTTGATTGTGGTATTTAAAAAAATATATAAATCTCTAGCAAGATAAAACTTTTCACTGATTCTACACTGTACTTGAGCTAAAACTGAAACTCTTTATCAAGGTCTAAGGACCTTGTGGGACCTAGTACCGCATACCTATCCAAGTTCAACTCTGACCATTCTCTCCTTTTTCCATGTACCAAACTGCTCTCCTTGGAGTTTCTTAATCAGCAAGTTTGTTCTCTTCTCAAGGACTTTGCCCTTGCCTCACATTTCTTTTGTTGTCAATATTTAGGTGTCAGTGTAGCTGCCATTGCCTGATATAGGGCTTTCCACTGCCTGATAGAGGGCTTTCTTGTTCCTAGCAGAAGTACCACCACACCTGCACTCACCCTCATTTCCAAAAAGCTTGAAGTCATTCTCTATTACATCACCTTGTTTTTTACTTTGCAGTTGCCACTCTGTGTGTTCAATCTCCATGATCAGGATAACTCTGTCTGTCTTGGAGAATAATTTTATGGTCAGGATATAATAGTGCATAGCATGTTGGCAGATTCTCAAGTATGTGTTGGATAAAGGAGTGCATGAAAGGATGGTAAATATAGCCTGATCTCATCCCATTAAGATCTTCAGAAAAGAACCAGGCTCCTAACTGCCTCTATTCTCCATTTTGTCTATTCATTTTCACATCTCAGCCTTCAACAGTCTGGCTCTTTACAGTTCTTCACAAAGTGAGATCTCATGAGTTCTTTCCAGTTTTTCATGTAAATTCTCTTGTTTCCCACTTTTCCTATTTTAATTCAGTCTTTTTTATCTCTCAACCCTCCTATCAGGATGACCCACAATATATTTTCTGTATTTCTGATTTTTCTCCAATCTTTTCTCTGCATAGCTTCTAGAGATAGCTTTCTAAAACATGCATGTAATCATAAACCTATCAGAGTGCCAACCTCTTCCCTGTTGCTTCTATAACACTGCATCCCCAACCTTATTCACAGGCTAGAAACACAGAGCTGAAAAAGATAATGAAGCAAGGAGAACTCTTAAAGTCTCCTGCTTTGGTATTTTGCATGATCTCATTCAAATTATTCTTCATCACATCTTTAGACACTTAAGATGTCAGTAACCATAGGTAGATAGGTTCTGTTTAATTACCTGCTAATAGTGATACACAGCAGTTATCAGTGCAGGGTCCTGCATTCATTGTTCAGCACAACACAGCAAAAAAAAAAAAAAATCCTGAATATTATTCTGAGGAGTACACTCAGAAGAAAGGAGCAGGTTGTATTAATTGCTCCTCCAGCTAAGGACTGTTCAAAGCATTCTTTTTCTTTATCTTGAACTCAGGGTCTTGCAGTTACTAAGCAGACACTCTACCACTTGACCCACAACTCTAGCCCTGTTTGCTTTAGTTATTTTTCAAATATGGTCTCACCACCATCCTCCTATTTGTTTCCTGTGTAGCTGAGATGACAGGCATACGCCACCACACTCAGCTTTTATTGGTCTTGCTCACTGTTTGTCCAGGCTGACCTTGACAACCTTGATCCTCCTGATCTCCACCCTCCAAGTAGCTAAGATTACAGACACAAGTCACCACACCCAGTCCAAAGTGTTTTTTTATTTTATATCTTTAATACTTCATAGCTTTTATTTTTCAAGAAAAAGCAAATCTGACATACACAGATTTTATTTGTTCTAGAAATAGCACATTTATGAAGTACAGCATATGCAAACAGCCCCAAAGAATGGAGAAGCATATGTTCATCTGCAATGACCACATCTCTCTCATTCTTTAGCTGAATGGTTATGTTTATAGTCCAGTTCAGTGGCTACCAAAATTCTCAGGCATATGTCAGATTGTATTCAATCGGTAATTATTTTATGATACCAGTCTTTGTCCACAATGATAAACTTCATGCCCCAAAGCTCTT